CAAATGCTTTAAGTAAAACGGGGACCGATCTGGCCCATGATCATAAACAGCCTCCGACCTCATCGAGGCCATCAACTCGTAATCTCGGGGGATATCAACTCTATCATGGAGCGTCCTCTTCTGTGCTTGTGTCACCTTGGAGTGAAACTCCACCCGAAGAGCTCGTTGGTCAAGTAGATCTGATGCCATCGCAGAATGCAGAGATGATCACCGGAAAGAGATGAGCGAAAAAGGTTTTGAGTTCTCAAAGGAATTTCAAAAGCTAATTACTGCCATCTCTCTGGCTCTAGTTCTATATATGGGCAGCTAAACCCACAACTACCGAATTCTAAACAGCCGGATCAAGCTCTGGCCAGCTGCTAAGATTAATTCTCAGAAACTAAAGTGACACTTCGAGGATCGAGGCATACCACTCACCTTGAATAGCCTGCAATCGGCCACAAAAGTGGAGCTGTGGCAGTCAAAAAGAATGTGTAGTGATATCACCCACGTAAAATCTAACATAACTTTTTAGTTCCCTCATTTAATGCGCACCAACGTCCATCCAAAGCTTCTCTCATTTCACTCGGACCCAGCCCAAGCTGACTCCAAGCGAAAGGGGCCAACTGTTATGGTGTTTTCAGTCACCAAAGTACGACTCTTTACTAATGACGGACATGTGCCCCCCCCATCGCATACACCACTCAAGTCAGATTGACAGTCAAAACAACCAAGGATCCCGACATAGCTAACCCGTCGAGTCGACATTTCCTTATGTTGACACGAATGGTGGTACTTGTCAATCCTCTTGTCGAATATGACTCGCAGCGAGCCCAGTCGACCAGTTACTCGACACCTCACGAGATCGACTCGAAAAACGTTACTTCTTGGCGAAGCTAAACGATGACTTCAGCCTTAAGCTTCTCCTGCTGACAACATGTTAGCGTCGCATTTAATGCTTGGTAGGCGCATCATACCTCTAGCCCCGATAGTCTTCATGACTCATCGGACCACGTCAGCACTGTCATACCTCCGATCACTTGTCATTTAATACTGAGGTGATCTCTCCTCTACTCGCCGGCCGGCACATATAAAGTAGGTGCTGACGTAGCTGCCAGCTCATACCTACTCACCGCCATTCTGTGCTCAGCTGAATGTCCACTCTACTCTTCCAACATCACTATAAATAGAGGTACTATTCTTTACTAACGGAGGATTCTGCTTTTTGATCTGATCTTAGATCTTTTACTGATAAGCAATATCTACACTACACATAAGAACTCTCACAATTTTTTATTTTACCCACTTAAGTTCACCAGTTGACTTGATCTTCGGAGGTACAATGGGAGAACCAAGCCACGTCCTCTCATGAATTTCTATTTGTGCAGGCTAAAAGCCACTCTACTCAAGATCAGATATTCGGAGAAGTGGGTGTCCCCTCTTGTACCTCACCATCACATATATTTGACTGTTTGGTTACCCATCATCAACAAATGCAATATCGTTTGATAGAGCGAGGTTGTAGTGGCAGCCATCGAAAAGGAGATATTGATCGGTGCAATGAAGATTAGTGAAGAGGAGACATCTAAGGATGAGATATTGGCCATCAGAGTATGAAATAGTGTTGGAGAAGATATCTTGTAGAGGAACGAAGGGCCAATGATTTGAGATTCTTCAGGATTAGATCCATTGCAGACAGAGTTGGGGAATTAGGGCTTTTCAAACCCTCTCTGGTACCATGAGAATTATTGTAGCAGAAAATAAGAGAGAAAGTGATTGAGAGAGATAGAGGCTGACAGCAGGGATCAGTCCTTAACCCTAGATTGGTTGCTATCTATAATCTATATATCTTACAAATTATATTACGCAATTGCATATATACCCTTTTTATAATGTAATCCCTCTTATACATACTATTAAATCGTATATACAAATAATTCCTATGATTATTGAGAAAAACTCGAAAAAGACATTGTGATCGGATGAAAACACTAGTTCATTGATCCCAAAAAAGTGCTTCTTGTTGCACTCTGCCACATATCTCTCATTAGATAACTAATCAAAATGCCACTAGTAGCAACATCCACTTGATGCTGTGAAATTTTCCTTGTAAAACACTTGGCACATTGAATGTTCACAAGTGCATGACATATAAAAGGATTTGAGAGGCTAGCTCACTTTTAGTGACTCTTTAATGAGGTGGCCAAGTTTAGGTTATCCGACAGCACTAGTGCTCAAATTTGTGATAGTTACGTGAATAGTTGATGGGAAATAGCTTGCCAAGTTGTGATTTTGTGCATATCCACATCCACATTTACTTCCACCTCATGTAAACAAATCCTATGGAGGGTCCTCTCCTTAGAATATCATTTATGAGATAGTAAACATGTGTTTATTAGAAATTCCAAATTTGATGATTGCACTGGTACAGTAGTCTAATTCCACTAATATAATATAGATGATACAATATTTTAATCATGCTGATTATAAATATACTCGTATTGTACAACGATTACGCACTGATCTAGAATTGATCGTGGAAAATTTTTTAAAGCCTTTTTATCTATGTATGACTTTCTATTAATAGCCCTCTATCGCCATTCTTTTCGTTTCCATCTTTCCTAGTGATCAACGGCAAAGAGAAAGTTCTAGTGCTCAAATTATTATGGTTATGTGAATAGTTGATGGGAAATGGTTGGCCAAGTTGAGATTTTGTGCACATCCACATGTTTTTTACCCTATCTCACATAAACAAACTAAGAAACGAGAAGCCCACTTTGTTGGAGTGGCTGTAAAGCACAAGAAGTTGGCAGTAGTGTGGTCTAATTGGATCAAGTCAGCTCAGATTTTGATTTAACATAAACCTTTTGAAGTCAGAAAGCACCATGGAGAGTGACTAGAGACTCTCTATTCTTTTCCTAAACATGTATATGAGAATTTTGGTTTTAGATTCAAGTCAACCAGTATTTGGTTCATGATAAAAAGAGGATTGAATATTTATAGTAAATTCTTATTGAGGAGCTAGCTAGCTAGATATGAGAGAAATGAACTTTATCTACTATTCATACTAATGATACCTTTTGGTTATCAAGTTCATGCACCCTCTAAGCCACTGTATAGCAAGTTCAGGGACGCTTATGCATTATTGCGTGATGATAGGTAAAACATTGCGTTCAAAGTAATATAATTTCCTTCTATAAACTAAAATAATATTCTACTAGACGATATAATTTATCGTGCAGAACATTTCTTGGTGCAAAAATCTACTGATTGATTCACTCTAATTGATAAATGTAGTTGCAATTGTAGTTATAAGTTCTCTTCCGCTGACAAGATATGCAGATTTTGACATAGTTCAAATATGCGCGTACAAGCTAAATGTGAAATAAAAGTTAGAAGTATGTCTTTTAGGTGTAAGTATCGAATCCTCTGTTTTCTTTTAAAATGAAAGGGATATGATAAGTTACATGATTGGCAAGCAGCAAGCAATGTGTGGATTGATGACAGGAAGATTCCAAAGCTTACACAAACTGGCAAGTTGGGAAGTACATAAAAAATATCGAAAGGTTTCTCAACCGCTGCCTTGCTTGCTCCCTAGACCCACACAGGGGGCGGGGTGTGTGGGGGGGTGGTTCATGTAAAATATAGAAGACCTTCTATGTGACTTCTATATAATTTATTATACATTTATAGCCCTCCATCAATCCTAAACTTGAAAATTGTATCACAGCATATAGTTGTTTCAAAGCTCAGTGGACATAAATTTATAGTGGATTTAAGGAAAAATAGTAGCGCTAAGTAAAATAAACCAAGTTTTATCCAGGACGAAGATGCTCAAAGTGAAGAGATTTCCTCTTTATTCCATAGAAATAAAAGGATAATTGTCAGATTATACAAAAACTTTTTATTCCATAACCAAAGGAAAATGGTCACACTATTTCATTAACAAAAGTATATGAAACGAGTTACACATTATAGATAATGTTTAGAGGGATCTTTTTGTTTGTTTTCCTCCTAGTGGAGGAAACCAAATGGTATTTTGGTTCGGGTTAGATAACCAAAATACCCATTAAAATGTGTCTCGGTTTTCTATGTGATTTGAGGGCAAATTTGTCAAATTAGCTTCTGATTAGGGTAAATAATCAGAGTGCCAAAAATTAGATAGAGAGGAAAATTCGTTTGAGAGAAAAGAAGGGAGAAGAGGAAAAGTCACTTTCGCGTAGCTGTGATCAAAGTGTCGATCGGATGCTCATCTATGGTCCGATCGGCGTGAAATTTGGAGGGTAGCTTCTACACTCATTGGTCTCAATTCTGGATGGTGGAGATTGGTTTCTATCTATTGAGTTTGGAGACATCGAGGTTTTACCGAAGCTGATCATTCCAGGGGTGCAGAGAACGTTTTCTTTTGTACTGTTCTGATCGTTTGGATAATCGGACTGTGAATTCTTCTCTGATTGATCTGAAACTTTGAAGGTACATTTTAAACTTGTGGTTCTAGGATTTGAACGGTGGAGATTTGATTTGGTTACCGGAATCCTTGTGAACCGAGAGTTTTCGTACAGCCTAAGTTTTGGTTTTCTTGTTATTTGATTTGGTTACCGGAATCCTTGTGAACCGAGAGTTTTCGTACAGCCTAAGTTTTGGTTTTCTTGTTGTGGTCTCTTGCTGGAATTTGTTTGATTTGAGATTGGTTGTTGAACCTGGAATTTCTGTATTGCGTCTCTCATTTACTGAGAACGTAGAGTGGATGTTGTAACCCAAAGTTTATTCATTATAGTGGATTTTTGGGTAGACTACGTTCCTGTGGTTTTTACTCATGCCGAGGAGGTTTTCCACGTTAAAAATCGGTTGTCTCATTATTTCTAAATTGTTTGCTGCTGCGATTGTTATTTTGGTTTCCTCACAGGTTCTCACAAGTAAGAGATTGGTCATCTTGATCCCAACTCTTGTCCCTATATTGAGGGAGAAAAGAGGCAACCTAAACCTTACACTGCACATCTGCATCTAAAATACCAAAAACAGAAATTAAAACAAAAAAATACACATAATTGAAAATTCTCCAAATAACATCCTCTAGTCTGCCTATGCTAAATTACAACTATATGCAACAATAAAATTCTTGAATTTGCAACTTCTACCAAACATGTGATTATCAAAATTCTGCTCTCTAGCTGATCCCAGTTGATAAACAGCGGGCATCAAGCGTAGCACTCAATGTGACAACCACATTTATTTTGCTTTATTTACCTCCTCTTTTAACTTATTTGAGCTGGAGCCATATTCCATGCCTTAAGCTCAGAAATCTTTACAGTTTCAGTCCCATAATTGAAAGCATAAAGATGAGTGTTGTCATTTAAGAGGATTGTAGGATAAACTCTAGAAGTGATGCAAGCTCTTCCACCACCTCCAAAGCTCTCTACCACAGAGTGATCAATCTGGTTACCAAATTAATTTCATACAGAAGTTATTGACAATGCAATTAACAAAACCTACTGAAAATATTTTCAGTTAAGAATGTGATTAAATTCGTTTTGCGAAACTTACCAGGGTCCTCAAAGATATCTTCCCGTCTTTCTTTACGTCTATGTCTACAAAGCCTCCGGATGCTGGCTTGTATAATTCAGATTTCTTGGAGGACCTATTTGAATTTTATAGTAAGTGTGGAGATTTATTTATTAATGAAGTGCAAGAGAATACATTTAGGGTTTTTTTAATTAAAAAAAGGCTAATAATTGCTCATTACCAAGTGTCAAAAGTACATTCGTAACCAACACGACCCTTGATTAATTAGCTACAGATAAAAGAGTAAACATGACATTTACATCATTAGCTACCTTCCGTCTGAATATATTGATGATCTAGATTGTAGGGCTCTAGATGTGACACATAATCTAAGTCTGCAGAGGAACACACCAACCCTCATTTACTCAAGATAATATCTATCTAATCATCTCAATCAAAGAATGAAGAAGTGCATTTTAACCCAAAATTTATACCAGCTTATTTATAAGGTTATAAATAAGCACGTACCTTCGTTTCGCTTAATTATAAGGTTATAAAATCTGTATTTCACGTACCTTCGTTGATCAGCACACATGAGAACCTTATAGCTTCCCTCTGCTCTGAAAACTCTGAAGTAGACAGCAGTATTTTCCTCCAAATTATCAGCAGCCAAAACTAACAAACCAAAGGGACCAATTCCACCATGGTTAGCATAAGCATCCTTTTCTCTGCAAAGCTTTGGAGGGTCTACAACCCAATTAGCATCAAAGGGCTCAGCCCCAGTTAAATTCTGGAACTCAAATTCTACCTCCACATCTGCCTGTTTTAATTAAAAAAATTAAAAATTAAATGTTAATCATAAAATGAATGGATTAAATGATAATATTTGTAAAAAGACTAGCCTGTGAAACTTTCAATCCTCTGACTTCAACTTGGCTTCCTGTTTTGAGCTCAATGTCTTGTAAGTGGATTTGCTCCCTTCTAAGTGATTCGATCTCTTCAATTGGCCATTGAATCAGTCTTTTTCCATCTGTGTCTACACTGAGAACCCTTGGAACAGTCTGAAAATAAAACATATATATTTATATACTATATATATAATATATTAAAATTATTTATATATATAATATATATATATATATACATAATTATATATATATAATATATATATATGCAATGTAGCCTAAAACTCATACTGCTCATACTGAATTACTCTGTTTCAAACTACTGTAAAAACTTTCAAACTGAATGGAGACCCATCCTCTATATATATTAGTATATTATCTATATATATTATATATTATATACTATTTTTATATTTTTAATGTTACGTTAGAACTTCATATGCTCTACTGAAATTACTCTGTTCAAACTACTGTAAAAACTTTCAAACTGAATGGAGCACACATACTTACTAAAGCTTATCTGCATATACGGTATACGGTCTAACACAAAAACTTGGACTAGTTTAAGCTTTCATTTCTTAACTAAAAACAAGAGTTAATTGCGGATGGACCTCTGCAGTGTCATTGTTTTTGACTTACTATTCCTCTAGTTATTGTTTTTAACTTACTATTCCTCTAGTTTTACTTTCACTTAGACTGAGAATTTTTTTTTATAAATAAACTCTCAGTGAAACGTTATCTTCTCTTTTATACTCACTTAATTTTCAAAATGAGCTCCCTGAGATTAAAAGAGCCAAGAAAACACTCAGGGGTCTGTCTACAAAAATAAAATTAGCGGAGGAACAAGCTCAAAACAGCAATCCCACAGGGGGTCTACCCACAATTAACCCTAATACGGTTAATTGCATGTCAATTATAGAAGCTGGGTAATTGCTAATCCTAATCCTTTTTCAGTAACATTTTGAATACTTGCCGTTTGAGTGTATTATCTCCCTATTATTCACACCTATTAGCGAGGTATGTTCTAAGAGAATATGGAAGTCTCTCTGCAATAATTTAGATATTGAGAAATCTCTTTACGTATATTAATGTCACATGAGACCCACATAAGTGATATACATATTACTGAGGAATAACTTCGTTTGAACATGAACATATTCGCAATTGATTGCCTATTACAAAATAGAATATAATCATTCTGTTTCATTAATACTCCGTTAAATATTATTATACGTGCATAAATGCAAAATACATACCTGGATGCCTGCCCAGCCTTTGGCCACATTGTCAGCTACACTACTTGTTTCATTCGACCAAGCCCACAAGATTCTGCGCTGCTTAGCCTCGTCTACGAACGTCTTCGACGCATACAACCTCCCATAATCAATCATCGGCCACATCCTACAATCATCAGACGACGCATCGTCTTTGATGAAAATATCCCTCTCTTCGTCATACGTCCCCATTACGTAATAGTCATGCAATGTATCGTACATGCTAACCTTCAACAAATATTTTGTCGCACCTTGAATTTCCTTGAGCGGGAAAAAATCTACGCACTCCCACATACCCGACCCGTTAGTGTAATATAGCGGGTTCTCAGCCGGAACCCATTTCATGAAATCTTTGCTCTTGTATACTATAGCCAGTCCCCCTTCATCAATCAGAGTGCCCACAGTTAGCCTCCAAGAACCATCTTTGCCAAGCCAAGCCGTGCTCGGGTCACGAAATAGAGCCGCGTTAATCTTTTGGTGTGGTTCGATAACCGGGTTGTAATTGGGTTTGATCCATTCGCGAAGAAACGGGTCGGACAAGTTTTTCGGGTACGCGATGTTCTGGACCTGCCTGCCGACGGTGTCAAGGCCCGTGTAGAGGACAACGGGTTTGTTACCGGGTAGGATTGTGGCGGACCCGCTCCAGCACCCACTAATATCGAAGGGGTCGGATGGGGTCAGAGCGAGCTCAAGCCCAGTCCAGTGGACGAGGTCCGTTGAGACGGAGTGGCCCCATGACATGTAGGCGGTCCATGTGGCGCCGTTTGGATTGTATTGGTAGAAGAGGTGGTAGACGCCGTCATAGTACATCGGTGCGTTCGGGTCTGGATGAAACGGGTAGTGTCAAATTCGCGCGAGAATTGGAAAAAAAAAATCAGATAAATTAATTATAGAAGCTGTTTAATAACGTCTGCTAGAAAAATGAATCTGAGCTATAATTCTCAAAACATTTTTGTTAACAAAAGGATATCTAAGCTTTTATGATTGAGAATTCAGATTCCGGAAGCGGAGAGGCTAGTACTATGTCATATATATTTATTGATTGTTAAATGGGTGGTTGGAATTATACACTCGTGTTGGTACATTGTTCCTCGTATACATGAGAATATAAATCTTATCATGAGCACTTTGTCCTCACTTGAATGATATAGATCAGACCACCCAGTTGCGTACCCATGTTGTTATAGTAAAAAGAAAAAAAGAGGTACTCCGTATTTTAAAGATGAATTTTGATTTATACATCATTTGTCATAGGCTTAACTTGAGCTGGGAAACTGGGCTTCATAATGGTCTTGTTTTGGGCTACTAAACATTTATAGGTCTATCGTATGGGCTGAATTTGGGGTTACAAAGCTCTCTATTGAGATATCTCTATATTTTATTCGGGCCGAAAACTGTTGATCCAATAATTTACTCACACCCTTTTATAATCTTGTTTTTATCCTTTTATCCTTCTTTTTTTCATTTTCTTTTTAACCCAACCTAACGTACCAAATAAATTGATAGATTAACCACTAGATTTCCTAAAAAGAGAATCTCAAACCTTTTCCTTTCTTTATCAAGTTGTCATACTTACATAAATCCTCTTTGTTTTGTAGCGAATGAGTTTAGGATGCATGTTAATTTCATTGGGAATCTTTTAACAAATCACACTAGACTAGTACAGAAGATGGAAATGAAATATCTTTTCATCTATCTATTCATCTATTACTTTGTCCAGATGAAAACAAAACAAAAATCGAATATCACGTGAGCTAAATAAACCAAGACATAAACTCGAAAAAGACTGATTTTCTAACACAAGCAGGAATTACTAAAATCTAACATATCAGTAAAATGATGATGATATGGAAACATCATTAAAAGATGGAACTAAATGCTAGACATAGATAATGATTACCATTCGTCTAGTGTTGAGTAGGTTGAAAATGATGTGCAGTTCTATAGAGCTTGCTAACTATACATACAGTTTTCTGCTATAGGATCTTGATGTAACAAATTGAGACGATAAATCTCAAATAAAGAAAAGCAAATAAAGAAGAACCCTAGATACCATCCCAAACCAAGAAAAATTGAAGCCATTTGCTCAAGAGAAAGAGGAGAAGGACCAGGGCCAATGGATCTATTCATTGACTAAAACTGCTAAAGGAGAGATTTTTATAAGATTAATGATTACTTAAAGGCGGTTTAAAGTCATGCTTACACTATTAAAATAGGATATCAAGACTATAAACATTAGGTTTAGTATGTGACTACTTTGACTGACATGTCCATGTAAAGACGGGTAGGTCCTATAATAGTTTCCATATATGATATAGTTTTAGCATTTGTTTAATGCAACCACTCTAAAATTATATCATAAATGAGAGATTTGAATTAAGGCGGTGTTTGGTAATTCAAAAGAGAATTGAAAATGTGTAAGTTACTTTTTTTTGACAAATAACTTTTACATCCACGTTAGCATATAAGTGAAATATAGTATTTGTTCAAAAATCTGATTTATAGTTGAAAGTGCAACGTGAAGATGATGTTGTGCGCGGCGCGGAAGCAGTCGAATCACACACAATCCAAACAAGAGAGATCACAACCAAATAAACAAGCATAATCACCAAATAACATAAGAGATTTACGTGGTTCGGCAAATTGCCTACGTCCACGGGGCAAGAAAGGGGATGGGGCTTTTACTAATAGAGAAAGAGTACAAACTGAAATTACAAATCACTTGAAGGAACAAACTAATCTCACCAACAAGCTCTTAATCTCTCCAAACAAAACCCTAAACAAATAGCTCAGAAAATACCTCTTTTCAGTGCTCCAAATATCCCTAATTTTCTTCTCAATTCTCTCTTCCAATTGTTCCATATATATAGAAATCCTAAAATCATAAACATACTAGGAATTCTAAAACAAAAACCAAAACAAATTAGGAATCCTAATAACCTATTACCAAAATAGATTAGGAATCCTAATAACCTCATGTTACCAAAATAGATTAGGAATCCGCTATCCAACAATTCTCCACCTCGACGAAGTTTTCCCAAAACCGAGCCGACACTAATACCAACCAAACGTCTCACTTGTTGCGTCCAGTACGAAGTGGAACAAATCCACGGCAACGGACTCAATCCACAACAAGTTGAGAACCCAAACGAGAATGCGAACAAACTCCAAATGTCATTATCAACTCACCAAACCGGCTGCATCATAAATGACTGCCTACGTATCCTCTTGCCCAATGAATCAAGCATTCACGTAGTTCATCAAAACGACCTCCAAAGGCCTTAATCCACTAGAAGACTTCGCAACCCTCCTACATAATCACGATCAAGTCTACGGCTGATAGCACCTCCAATGGTCCCAAACTGAAACAATCCAAACATCTCCACCTGAGATAAACCAATAGCTATATTCGGACTACATCTATCAGCTGCACTCGAATCAATCAACCTATCATCTGCATCCGAATCAACATGACTCCTAATCTGTGTCACATCAGTTGGAATCCTAAAAGATGCAGTATGATCTGGAGTCTCCACCTAACGTGGAGTAGCATCACTCTCCACCCGCTGTGATGTCTCAAAGATCTGATCACCACTCTCCACCTGCCGAGAGTCAAACGTGACATACCTGCTCAGAACAAAGTCAGAAGCCAATACCTGATAATCAAACACGCCTCTGACTCCCAAATGTGCTATCGGATCAAATCTTACATCCACGATATAACCAAGTGCTAGGTAGCCAAACATCCGATGCAACCCAAAATCTGAAGCAGCTCCACCAGATCTCATACCTCTGCATGCAGCAGTCGGCAACCTATGATTGAGATGACCCAAATATGTCGAAGCTCCAAAATCAATGTCAATGCTCAACATCAAATGCCTATCCTCCTCTAGAAAGGAACAGCTCCCCAAATATGCCATCTCATCACGTTGCCTTAAAGTTTCCACACCAATGAAGTTTCTCCTATTGCCGTGAGCTCGGCATAATCGCAAGAAAGAACCCCTACCATAATCAGAACGTCGGGTTACCTTTCTACCAACACACTTCCTCCATCTATTGCGAATTTCTAGAACTTCACACCAACGGGACTTGGTTGTAACCCACCAATGCCTAGAGCAATCCTCAACTGCGGAAACCACATACCTATTACCTCCCAATGATGCTCTCTTAGAAGGCCCCCGAATGTCTGAATGAACACCCTCACAAGACCCCTCGAATGATGGATAGAAGTGTCAAACTCCACCTCGGTCTTCTTGCTCATACCAATGGGTTCACAGGACTTCAAACTGCAGGTCAAAACACTCCTCAACAACCTATACACGGCATTACCAATCAAATAACCCAGCATCAAACAACGCCACAGTCTAGCCGAATCTGATGAAGTCGTCAGCTCCCTATCAATCGCCATGCATCCGAGCAAATAATACAAATTGCTCTTTCTGACGCCCTTCATCACAATCATGGATCCCAATGTGACCTTCAAGCGTGCGTCCACCAAGGTCACCCTATAACCTGCTGCCTCCAAAGCTCCAAGTGAAATGATGTTCATCTTTAATTACAGAACGAACCTCACATCATCCAACTCTCACATCATCACATCACTCATCCTAATCTAAATAGTACCAATACTACCAATAGAGCATGCATGTCCATTACCCATGAGCACGAAATCCTCTCTTTCCAACTTCTGAAAGCTGAAGAACCAATCCCTCCTAGGGCAAACGCGGTAAGAAGCACCCGAATCCAACATCCACTCCGTAGAGTCGGTATCACAAACTGATGGTAGTTCGGATAACGAATAGTCTAAAGAATCCGAATCTGAATTATTACCACAAGTCTTGACAACATTCACATTTGAAGCTTGTACATCTTTCCCCTTATTCTTCTCAGCTCGATCTAACTTTGGGCATTCAGTTTTCCAATGTCCATCCTCTTTTCAAAAAGCACACTGATTCCTACGAATCCCACGATGTGCACCTCTAGACTGCGACCTCCTGCTTCGGTTTGAACCACGGTCTTGAACTACTAATGCATCTCCCGATGCTTTCTCGGAGGACTCATCAACACTCTTCCTCAACTCATAATTCACCAACGCTGAGGTCACCTCCTTATAGCTAACAGTAGTTCTTTCATTAATTATAGTGAGAACAAAGATACCATAATCATCCTCGGACAACGATCACAAAAGTAGCTTCGCCTTGTCTTTATCCTCAACCATAATATCCACATTGGCCATGTCTGAAAGTATCTTCGTGAAGTTGTTAACATGTTCCCTGATAGAAACTCCCCTCTTCATCTTAAACTGGTAAAACCTCTTCTTCAAGTGAAGCCGATTCTCAATGCTCTTAGTAAGATACTTTTCATTGAGTGTTTCCCACATCTTCTTCGTCGACATCTCGTTCATCACATCATAAATAAGATCTGGCGTCAAGCATGACCGAATAACTACACACGTCCTACTATTCATCTTCTTCCAAACATTTTCTTCCATATCAGCAGGTTTCTCTTGCAACTCAAGAATCTCATTCAAGTTTTGAGCGTCCAACGCATCCATCACTTGGCACCCCCACAAACCGAAATTGATCTTGTCATCAAACTTCGTAACATCGATCTTCATGTTATTGATGCTCAAACTATGTATCATCTTCATAAGAGACGATCACATTGTTCTTACTTCACCCATGTTTTCGATCTAACTCTTCAAATAGGAATCCTTTCAGAAAATCCTTCAAACAAGCCTCAAGCCGAACTCGAAGCTCTGATACCAATTGTTGTGCACGACACGGAAGCGGTCGAATCACACACAATCCAAACAAGAGAGATC